TGGCATCACTGTCTGAATAAAAAAAAAAAAAACATTTAAAAAGATGAAATTCAAAAGCTTGATTAGATTTTTTTAAAAAAGCATTAGATCCTGCTCTCTGACTCACAACCTCAGCACTTTAACTCTCACCTGTGTTTACTATAAAAAGACTAAATGAAAATATTTACCTTGGTTATGAGCAGTGGCTCCCGGTGTTCAAGTCCCCCTCTGAGCGTGAACCCCCACGGGGCACCTCCTGACAGAAATACTTCCACCAGCTTGAAGCTCTCACAGTCTCTGCTCCTCTGATCCAGATCTCCTGATTTCTGCACCACATGCCAAAAGCTCTCCGTTTCTGTACAGCGCAGATCATTTTTATATCCTTCAGCATCCATTGTACTGCTATAAAAGTAAAAAAAAAAAAAAGGAGAGATAGATATCCAGTCAATATATCATAATGGGTACCGCTCTAAAATAATAGTTTACCACAGGGGACTGTTTCCATAAGGCTTATTGTTTGGTCCAGTCTATTTCTAACGCATACCATTTTAGCACAGTTTGTCCCAGTGATATGCTGATGACACAAAGCTGTAACTCCCATTGAAATCAACTCAATGAACTCATCACTTTCTGCATCTCTTCCACTGGCTAAAAAATAAACTACTGACTTTTTATTAATAATGTGTCACATACCAGTGGCTGGAAAAACTTAAAGACTGAATTAGACTGGTTGATAAGATGTTTCACTGTAAATTAAGAGCTATGTAACCACTGCAGTTTGTCACCAAGATCACACAAAAACTACCACAGCCATACAGACACTTACTACAAACACTATACGCCTCATAGGATTCATATCTTCCTTCAAAAGACATAAGTTCTTGAGGTGAATAAAGGGCCTAAAGGTCATAGAATAAAATGCTATCTTTTAGTTTGAGGCATTTTGAAGATCCGTAGGACTAGAAAAGCACTTCATAAACACCAGTTCATCTCCAGTTTTCATATGAAACAACATACATGATGCCATGGCTATTGATACATCAGTATAAATCTTTCCTGGCGTATACCACAATACCGGTATTGTATTTTGTTGATATTTTTTACTAACTGAAGTCCCTCTATTGAGCTTTTTACTTGGCAATTATTTGTTAATTTTTTTATTTTTATTTTTAAAACAGAGCTCATTTCTTTGTTTTACTTTTTAAAAATGTTATAAAACTCCTTTATTTTGTTTATTTTTACCTTACTGAGCTACCTTGTCTTGTCAAGTTTTGTACTTTATTTGAGCTATTTGGCGGCATGTTATATTTAATGTTTTGGCTGCTGCAACACCGGCTCAACTTCTAACCAGGATTCCTTCTGTCCTCCAAATTCCTGAGTGTTGACCATATTGAAAAAGTCTTTTAGCACAGAACACATCCTGACTAAAAGATGGGCCTGGTATCAAAATGTATGTTTAAAAAAAAAAAAGAAAGAAAAGAAAAGGGAACCTTTGAAATAATGTAACATGTTTTCACCAGCCACCTATCCCATATGCAGATGTGTCATATAAAAGTCTACCCAAAAATTTGCAGTTTTTGAAGTTTTCCTCCAGTGAATCATCAGGAAACAGGCAAAGGTTCCAGAGTGCCAGTGACTGTTTCTGTTACTCTGTTTCACAGACATTAAATTGATACAGCTGCTATTGAAACTCTGTTATATCCCATGATAATGATGCTCAGAGCTGATTATAGAAAAAAAAATGGCCCAAACAAAGATTTTGGCTTTTGATTGACTTCGCAGTACTTTGTGACAGAGCATAACGTGTTTTTCAGCCATTAAAAACTTATGTAGTTGATATGAACTTATGAGGGTTTAAAAATGCTTGAAAAAACTACATTTCAACCCACCCGTATGTACTTCGAGGCACTCCAATTCTGAAAAAATTCAGGAAATGAAGACAAAACTTTATTTAATATACTAAAATTACTGAACAAAATGACATAAGTTGATTTTATATGAAATGAGCCACAGTGCAGATTAGATTATATAAAAAAGTGACGAGACAGTAAACAAATTAAGAAATAAAAGGTAAACTGGGAAAGTAAAAACACTTTGGAAGCTGAACTGAGCGGAACTATAAGAAATAAAACATATTTAAAACTAAATAAAAACGCCTGAAAAATAACGCGGACTCTGGTTACAGTGACAAAACATTGGATTTAGGGCTCTTATTTTGAAAGGAACCTACCACGAACATGCAGACTTTCATTTATTAACTTCTTTAAGTGATAAAATATCTTCTACGTCCATCTGTACGGAGCTCTGCGAGACTAAAGCAGGAAACCTGTAACACCTGTTGTTGTCAAACTGCAGACAGGGTGATTTAAACTTAATGCTCTTACGTGCGAGAGAATTAAACGCACCAGCAGCACAATGGAAACCATCCAGCTCAACCACCAAATAAGCCGAGTAACACCGACCTGGTCGCTCACATAGGCAACACAAACTTCGTCCCACACCAGCAAAATCAAAGAAACTCACCTACTCCATGAGGTGCGCAGCTATTTTGGGAAAAATATTACAAAAGTCGCTCTGAAACGGCGGACCTTACCTGAGAATCCAAGTTTTGGATGAACCGGTGAACAGGAAAGCTTCGTCGGGTTGGCACGGAGTAATATCCCAGGTTTACGTTACACATACTTCATCTTTTTTAACTGGTTTTATTTTAAAAGGAACAACTTTTTAAAAAATAAATCGTACGCTAACTCTTAAACGAAGTGGCGACCTTACGCTGTTTCAAACGCAGCAGCTCCAGCCGTATCCTCCTACTTCATGTTACAAACCGAGAACGACACACTGACACACTCGGGAGAGGTTAAATCAGCTAAGCTAAACTAGCTCCATCCATGGACTGCAGGGATAACAAGTGTGGCAGAACAAAGCTGCAGCGCAAGCGCGACACCTACCGTTAGCCAAAAGGAAAGGCGGGAAGAACAAGCAAGTGTAATCTAAAACGGCTAATTTTAGTAATAATATTAAATAAAAACTGACAAACACGTTACGTAGTAACTATACCTATATTTCTACTTTCCCACTTTATTTATCCAAATAAATAACCTCTTATTTTGGTTTTAGTCATGGACAGAGACAGAATTAAAATCTGTGGGAGAATTCTTTTATTAGCTAATGAGGAATTTGAATGCAGCAGCACATCTCAAAGAAGTTGGGACAGGTGCAAAACAACTCTGGAAAAGTAAGAAGTACTAAAATAAAACAGCTGGAGTAACATTTCATAACTAATCAGACTGTCAGCAGTTCAGTACCATGATTGCATATAAAAACAGCAGCTTAAAGAGGCACAGGTTCTCAGAAGTAAAGATGGGCAGTTTCACCAGTCTGCAAAAAATTGCATCTACAAATTACAGATTAACTTCAAAATACTGTACCTCAGTATAAACTGTGAAGACTTTGTATTGTAGATCTCATGATCTACAGTACATCTGTGCAAGCGACAAGGCTAAAGACCACTTCCAGAAATAACTGTATTATAACAGAGTTCACTGTACCATCCAAAACCAAAGGTGAAAGCTCCATATGTGAACATCATCCAGCAATACTGTCATTTTCTATGGGTCTAATTTAGTTTAGAATAGACCAAGGTAACTTAGAAACTGCTGTGTGGTTAGATGAATCAGAATTTGAAATTTTTTATGCAGAACATCAATGCTGCATCCCTGACAGTGGTTCAATCCATGAGAGCTACTCAAAGATTTTGATACCCAGACTTCATGTGCGCTCTGCTGATATCTGCTGATGTCTGATCTGGTCAGCATCTCATTATCTACAAACTCGTTAATAGCACTGATTAATGGGTTTCAGGCCTAAGAAGCAGAGCGGAAGAGGGCTGCAGACTGAGAAGCAGTGTGCAACTGGATGCAGTTGTGGATGGTGTGATAAACTGTTGTTGTTCTACTTTTACAATAATTAATTTATTTGTGTTTTTTTTTCTTATTTTGTTGTAGCTGTGAGATCAGTTTTAAAATGTAGGCAATGTTCAATCTGTCTCACAATCATTGCTCTGTTTTTTTTATACTGTCTTTGTTTTAGCATAACTAAACTAATACCACGTTATTCCAAATAAAATTGTAACTTTTCTATTAAGTTCTTCAAATGCAATTAATATTCAAATGTGTTAGCTATGTTAGCTTTGTTTATTAGTTAATCCCAGTGTACATTTTTCCTTTACAATCTTTGATGAAATAATCTTAATTATTTGTAAAACTAATAAAACTTTTAAAACGTGTGCCTCTTAAAAGTGTGGAAGACGCAATTAAAAAACAAACAAACAAAAAGAAAAACACTAATCAATGTATATTTATGAGTACAATATTTTTTTCTATTTCATATCCTCAAAAATTCATTACTGTACCTTTAAACACATTCAAATTATTGTTTAAATATGTACACAGGCGAAAAAAACAAACAAATATTAGCCACGTAATTGGGCTATTTTCTCATACGCTTAATTTTACTGTCATGCTTCTTATTCCAAAAATGCAGAGTTGCTAGTGTAGCTATCCTTGTGAATATCATGCATTCTTATTATATTTTGGTTCAGAGCCATTAAGTAAATAAAAAAGTAAATAAATAAAGCACACATGAATGAACTCTGAATATTATGAGCTGCTGTATGGTTATTATGTGCACTAAAAATTTCGTTATCAGTTTTTACAATACAGCAACAGCTGCTGCAACTATAATGCTAATTTTGCTACCTCGCCACCTAGCCGTTTGGTAATGAATAAAAGACTTAAAGAGAATATAAAACTCCGATCGTCTCATTTTTCGGTGTACTACCGCTACAGCTATCATGTTGCAAAGCTGTTGTTTTTTGTCTCTCTGTGGGTGACTTTATACAATCACGAGGAATAAAAGTCCGATAGAAACGTATAATTTTCTGAAACGTCGGTGAATGAAACGAAGGCGGAATCCACTCAGAGCGTTCCTTTCCATGACAACCACAACTACGGATGGTAGGTTAGCTCAAACCAGATGGGACAACGATTCGCGGAAGTGGGTAAAAGGTGAAACTTGACGAGTAGCCATCACATAAGTTTTAAACTATCGGAAAACTAAACTTTAGAGTTTAAAAGGCATAGTTAGAGCATGTTAAATAACTCATTTTAAAGTATTTAGACTAAATACATAAAGTATGTTTAAGAACTGGTCAAGCTGGCTTGGAGCAGAGAAAGAAAGCGGCCAAGTTACAGAAGAGCCTGCTGATGCTAACGAAGAAAAACGCTTTAGTGAAATAAACAAACCGAGCGACCAGCAGGGCAGAGATGCTGGGACAGATGCTCAGCTTCTCCAAAAAGCAAAAGGTTTCAGTGGTGAGTCCGCTGCAGTCCACATATTGTTGTTGTGTTTCTTAATGTTTTGGTTTTGTGGTCAGTTTTTATAGGTTTTTAGCACGATTTGAGCTTTGGGGAGAAATCATTGATTACAATACAAACAAATCAATTTGTGATGATAGCTACCTTATAGTCATCCACTATCAGATTTGACTTTCATTATAGTTAACTGAAATTACTTATGTTTTAAAATTGCACCTCTTGTAGTTTGTTTAGATGATGCTCATTTTGGATTCTTTTGTAAATGCAACTTTCACTTATGATTATTTTTGATAATGTATTATTCTGCTGATTATTTTCTCCATTTGTTGATTAATTGCAACTATGCAACACAGTAATGTGGGTTTTTCTGGCTTCTTTACAGGTTACATTTATAATTTTGCCAGCAGCGCCTCAAAAAAATTATCTGAGTCCGTAGTAGAAACAGCTCAAACCTTAAAGAAGAGCGTGGAGGAGGGGAAGATCAGTGGAATTATTGATAAGGTGAAAAGTTTCATCTATTGTCTGAGGCTGATATCAAGTTTTTACTATTTAGGGTAAGTTTGGAATGTTTGAAGGTTTGTTCTTCTTCCCTTAGACCATTTTGGGTGATTTCCAGAAGGAACAAGAAAGGTTTGTTCAGGAGAAAAGAGCTAAAGAGTATGGTGAGTACTTCTGTTGTGTACTTATGACATGAAATGTAACAAAAGCTCTTTTAATTGATGTAGATGTTTGATTTAAAATCAACAGTGCTGATGCACAGAAAATGCGTTTTTGTCCACAAACATGTGGACCAAACTGTATATCGGTTTTTAATCATTAATTAAAGCTTACATTTAATTGTAGCTGAAAAATATTTTCAGAACACCTCAGAACATCTCTGCTGCTTTTCGCCGCTTGTAGGTGCTGCTGTGCCTCTATGGGTGGGTTATAATGAAGAGGATGCCATACAGGAACAAATATTAGCTCTCTCAGCTGTAAATATCTTTAAAAAGCATTTCATTTATTATAGAAAGTTACTTAAATTATGCCTCACTGTAACTTTACTGCATTGTTTCAGGATAAAAGAAATTTTTTGCGTGACCCCCCTGCTGGGGTGCAGTTTTACTTTGACTTTGACCAAATGTATCCAGTCGCCATGGTTATGCTAGAGGAAGACGAGCTCCTGAGGAAGATGCGCTTCCATCTGGTCCCCAAACAGTGAGTGTGTCATAAGTTAACTACGTTAACTGCTGTGTTTTCAATGTGAGCCTCCCTGCATCCCTCAGGGGTGACTGCGTTTTCCTCCATGCTGTTCTCCTCAGGGTGAAAGAGGAAGTCTTTTGGAAGAATTACTTCTACCGCGTGTCTTTGATAAAACAGTCGGCTCAGCTCACAGCTCTCGCAGCCCAACAGGCGGCTGAGTGGATTGATGTGAAGAAAACCTCCTACCCTTGCAAAGATCCTCATCAAAATGGTACAGTCTGCTCTCTCCTGTAAAACCTCTGCATTAAATACTGATGTTGATTTTTAAAGCTATGATATGAAAGTTGATCAAATGTAAGAATGTACAAATATGACTGTAAGTATTTGTGTAATTCTTTATCTTAGTATTCAAGGAAGATTTGTTTTGATTTTGACTGATAGCATTTCTAGTTAGAACAGAGAGTGCAGGTTTGTTGTGCAATAAAGAAAAAAGTGAGTTAACTTCTGGACCTTTCTGAGCATAGAGTGAAACACGTTTTTATTTAATGGGCCACATACAGTCCAGTTTGATCTTAAGTGGATTGAATGAGCAAAAACGCTGCACAGCAACATAAAAAGTCAGTAAAAAAATTTCCTTTTGAAAAAGTACAAGTAAAAATGTATTCAGTGAACAATCCATTAAAAATGGCAAACAGACGGAGACGTCAGAAGGAAAAAAAGTGCGATCCCATCAGTATATCTCATTACATCAACTGCACATCTATAAAGCCACAAAATATTCACATGTGAATTATTTTGTAACTTAACTAAAACATCCGTGTGCTACTAGATCGTAACATTTAGATCTTAACATGCTTTTTGTGCAGTAATGTTCTTAAAACACCAAGAGTTGCAGTGTTTTGAATAATTGTACTTATTTATTTATTTTCAGTGTTCATAGTTTGTAAAGCTTTCATGAGCAGGATTAGACGATTTAACGTTCCGTTTCTGTTCCATCAACGATATGGTTGACGCTCGTGGCTTAGACTGCGTCCATAAGATGGGGAAATGTTTTAAGAAGTCCTGTTTTTAAAGGCTGAGTGTTTTCGTCATTGCTTTTTAAAAGGTAGATGTCACAATGAAGAGGACGTCATAGACAATACTCTCATACATAGTCAACTTGTAAATCCGAGACAGCTCAGTTGTGTTCACGAAGAAATCAAATGCTTTAGAGTGAGACCACAAACTAATTGGATTTTCGAATAAAGAAGCAGAGGGTCTTTTCGGCCCTAGACTTTTATACATTCTGACTTGCAACCACAGGCGTCGCCCTCTGCTGGTCATTGGAGAGCATTCAGGTTTAAGACATTTTGGGGTTGGTTTGAATTTTCAGACCCGGCAGCTCATCTTTTATATACAGTCTGTGCTTAAAGGCAACGTTAAAAGCACCATTAGGTTTGAAAAGGCATGCTCTTCGGCTCCAGGTAATGATGTGATTCCAGAAGCAGCATTTTGATCAGTAGGATCTAGCTCCACCTTCCTGCAGACTGATGCATGCTTTTGTATGAACATATAGTGTGAAAACTAATTTATCTTTTCTTGTTGTCCTGATAGCAGTGGGATTTAAAAAAAAATGTTATTAGTATTAGAACATTTTGAATATCACATTTTTCCCTTAAATACCTTTTCACAATGATGACATTTCATTTATTTATTTATTTGTTTATTTTTGTAGATGCAGTTAAATCAAAAGCCAGCAGCCTCCAACCAAAATCAAGTGAGGTAAGATTACCTGTTTTTAACCTCTGAGATCTAAACAATCCTAAACAAAGGCTGGCAGAATATGTGGTTTCTGGTTTTCGAAAGCTTTTCTTACATATCTCAGTTATCAGAGGATTTAAAAAAAAACAAATTTAAAATGTTTTACTTTTCTTCATGTTTGTGATTTTAGTGACACGGAGTGAGTTTTTCTTATCAGTGGTCAATGAAACAAAACAAAACAAACCTCAGCAGCATGCTATGATACCTACGTGTTATAAATGACACCTTAATAGTCTTATAAAGGATACAGTAAAGGATTATTTTACTGTTAATATTTGCTGGTCATTAATATTGAATTTTGTATTATTTTGACAAGAGATTCTTCAGGTTAATTCTGATTGGCACGTGTTTTATAAGGGGTATTTATTTTTTAATGATTATCGGCTGTTTTTGTGGTTTTGTGATAAATATTTAACTGCTACTGCTCACTCTCATAACTTTATTTGAACCGAAAACACAAACTTTTCATCTTTTTGTTGGTTTTGGTTCCTGAATTTAACCAGTCAGCTGGTGGGGAAAAAGCAACTGTACAGAGAGCGAATCAGGACACAAAGAATGACCTCCAGGTTCAGTCATGTGATTTACACCACCGCCATCTGATCTAGATAATATTTATACACACACTACTCTGCGACCCTTAATCATTTATGAGGTTTTGCAAACGCTGTCATTTCATTGTTTGATGGTAAAAAGTTAACTAATTAAAGGTAATAGTTTTATCATTTATTATTGCTGCAGAAAGGTCATTATAAAGCAGATTTTAAAGCTGAATCTGAGCTTCTGTTTGCGTTATGAAAGGATGAAGAAGAACTCTCCACCAGTCTGCAGCTGTCTGAATTTGTAAGTGATACTTTTGACTCCTGTGAGATCAACAAGGACGACCTGTGCAAAGAGATGCGAGAGCTGGTTCTGGACAAGAGGGAAAACCTAAATCCAGAGCAGGGTGAGTGCTGTGGTTAAACTGGGACATTGTACTGTGTGTGTGTGTGTGTGTGAGCTCAGTGTGTTTTTTTTTTTTGTTTGTTTGTTTTCAGAGGAGATGCCAGACTGGGAGAGAGAGCTGCAGGAAGAACTTCGGGAGTACGACGTGTTGGCTGACAGCGAAACCCACGATGATAACTGGGACAAGGAGATCGAAGAGATGCTGAAGGAGGAGAGTTAGAGTAATGAGCGACACCTTCAGAGGCGCTTTGGTGATTTCTTACATCTTCGGTCTTCCAACAGCTCTCCGTGGATCCATGCGCTCCCCAGATGAAGAGCTGGGAAGTTTGCATTCATGCGTGTTTAATTCAAAATGTGAAGAAAAAATGGATGTTACAAAGACAATGTGTCTCACATTAATAGAAGTTTACAGTATATATTTGTGCTTCAGGGCGGGGCTAAGTTGTGATTGATAAGTCATTAACAAATGAGCTTACAGCATTCTTGGGTTTCACAGTCAGATCCATTGTACCTCGGTTTTAAAAAGCTGAGACACTAAAGATAACCAGTTTGGGTCACATGTGACATCACAGTGGCTGTGCCCATTATTTATATGCAGTCTTTCATCATACATATTATGTGAGGCTATGGCAAAAAAACAAGCAACACACTGAAGGAAGAATACAAGCGCTGCTTCGTTTGCACAGCAGGCTTGTGTGGAAGCTACATTTCTGGCAGAAATTATATATTAAACCGGACTATGAACAGTGAAGATTCTCTGTAATTCATTAAACCAGAGATTTTAGTTTTGATCTGGAGAATTTCATGAAACCAGTGAAGTATAACTCTCAAAGTTTATCCTCGACTGAGCCACCCTTTTTCATACATACAAATGATTTGTTGGTTTGTCATGCTTTTTAAATGCTGTTAATAAAATACCTACAGGCTTTGGACTCCATGTATTTCACCAAATTTATTAAACAGATGAGTGAACATGCAGGTTTTTTGAATGCATTGTTTAATGTGAAACCATGCCGGTCCGAAGCAGTCTTCCTCTTGTTTATGTTTTTTGGGACTTTTCCCCCCTTATTTTTGTACATTAAAGATGTTTTTCTGCAGTTCCAGACATCATTGAAAAGCTGTGTGGTGTGAGTGAGACTTGAATGAATGAGAGGAGCCCGGCTGTTTGTGATACTCTCTCTTTATTGCTGAACCTGACAACAAAACATTAACTTCCTCTTTCTTTTTTTTGTCCATTTCAGACAATGATAGCTGTAAACACATCACGCACAGGCTGCTTGGCACTCACGCTGAAGCTGCTGTATAATTCACTTTATACACAGTATGGAATAGCGTCTGTTCTCCATAAGTCACACTGCCGATATACTGTAAACCACACACTATCAGTTGTACATGAAAAATGCTCATGTGAAGTTATAGAAAACAGCCAGAGGCTTAAGAGTAGTTCAAAGTGTAAACGAGCTGTGACGTTTGGATTAAAACAAACTTGCACAGAGCAGAAAATAGACACCACTTTATGATATTTGTACAGTCCTGTGCCCAGTGTGTCAAAAAGTGGACCTATTATGTTTTTCCTTATTATCTGTCTTATACTGTAAAGATGGTGGATGTATGTAAAAGTCATTTCTTTGAGCCAAAAATTTAGTTTCAGGCAGTTTTTCTTATTTTTTGGATATCCCTAATAGACACGCCCACCTGCTGTAAAACAAGTTTACAAGGGGCAGCCAATCAGGAGCAGCTTGACTAGCTTCAGGAGATGAACTGAGTGGCTGCATTTAGGCCCAGATTATTTTTTAACTGCGAATCATTCAAAGCGACACTAACAGAGTCAAAGAGAAGGGAAATCAGCAGAACAGGTCCACTTTAAATGTGTGAAACATTTGCTTTTTCATCCAAGCGGCTGTAAATTATTTTCAGTACATTTACGACACTATTGCTATTTAATGCATGGTCACTTAAGCAGTGTCACAGTAAATAGGTAGTTTACATGCCGTACAGTGTGTGGCTGTCACAGGCCGAAGAGTCGTTTATACTCAAAAGACAGTGAAACAGTTTTAGCAGAGTAGTCCTGATGAGACCTCAGCTCAGGGTGTAGATGGGTGGAGCACAATGTCGCTAGACCCCCTGTTGGATGCACTTCACACAAATCTAACACAGGAGTGATGGAGGTGTCTTTACGAGCTCTAACGTTCAAGTTTTCTAAGTACAATGCTCTTCACGAGCACTGGACTGGTGCTGACAAATATTACATCTTTTAAAAGAAGTATATGCAATACAACATCAGTAATCTACAGTACATGCTTACCTGCACTCAAAGAAAGACCTTCAGAACACGAAACAGGTAAAAACCATCATGAAGCCAAATAACTACTCTGTTTCAACCTCTGCTGGACGCAGTGACGACTTCAGCTATAAATGTTTCTGAATGAGTTCATGAAAACTGCAGAGATGTAATCAGGCAGTCAGAATTATACTAATAATTATACAGTATGTTTATATTCAGTGACATTATGAAAAAACGATATTTATGGGATTGGGAACATGAGACCATGCACTGTAGTAACTACTATTTACTACAGATTGGAGACAGAGTCAGTGATTTTAAGCTAATGTCCTGGTTACATCCATCAAATAACACCAAAGCCAGTTATCCTGAGTGTGAACTTAAAGCTGTGTTAATCATCATGTTCTATCTGGAAATGAGAAGAATACTTTTAATGTGAATGGGACAGATCTCCTTAACAAACCCAAAATCTGAGCCTCTTTATCTCAATTTTATTTTGGTCCCTTCAGCTGTTCCACACAACCTCCCATTAATCCTCTGTGCACCCTGTTGCCACAATAACATAAAGTTTGTGATTAACTGATTAAGAAAGTAAATCTCATGGTTTAAAGATATTTGTGGACAACAACAGAGAACTAAAGAACAGGAAATACCTACACTAACAAACACAACCTCCCTCTTTTGTCCATTTCAGACAATAATAATGTAAACACATGTCTGGTAATATAACACACAATCTGCTCTCATGCTGAAGGTGCTTCACTTTATAAACCATCTGTAATAGCGTCTATTCATTGTAAATCACATCACGATAAAATCTGTGACTAGCCAGTAAAGAAACAAAGAGCTGAATGAGTTCATATCCTGGCTCGTAAACCTTCTGGGAACTCGATGTCACCTCATCTGTACTGTGGCTGTTGTTGAATGTTTGGTAACACTTTATATTAGCCATTGCTACTAAATGCTACATTGATAGTTAATTAAGCTGTGGGCTCTGACTGTGTGGTTTAAAATTTATAACATCCAACCATTAACCACATCCTTAATTACCATTTCACTGTTTGTTAACATTAAATCACTATCAATGTTCAATCAGGTACCAATTACGGTGTGCATATGATGGTTATTATAAAATGTTACCTACAGATTCAGTGACATGTTTTTATAAAAATAAAACAAAATAATCATCACAGTAGTAAACATCAAGAAAAAACTGTAAACATTAATAAAAACAATAAATAAATAATTCAGTTCCAGTGGCATGCAAATATATCCGTTATGCAATAGTAACATCATTTAGAAACCAAATATAGGAGCGAGGGTTGCTGGTAAACTGAGAGAAAATTCTTAATTTCACATATTTTCTGTTTTCAAATTATTTCACAGTAATTTCAGTTTAAGATGCAAAAAAGCAGGGGTGTCAAACATGCGGCCGGGGGTCCAGTACAGGCCAAAGAAATATTTAAGGTTAACGAATCAGCGGCACACATCTGAAACTGCTGCCCCTGGTGGTGAAGGTTTTAGTTTAATTCGAGCACAAAGGAGCCGTGGGCATACTAGTGTGGCTCGCATGAAATCAAAGTGGGTTGGCCCATTCAAATAAGTCTCATTTATTAAAGTATAAATATACTGGCTGTAGGATATACTGAGTTCAGGATTATCACAATGCAGATATGAGAGAAAACAAAACTTTTTGGCTTTGTTAATGTAATACTTGCCTTTGTATTACAGCCACTTCTTTGGGTTTAACTAACATATTTTAAATTCAGAACACTGCTAACACCTCACACTGAATAAAGAGATCGCATCAGCGTCCAAAAATAAATAAAAAATCAAGCAGGAATTCACTCAGCACAGCGTCCTGGTGTGGATTTGAAAGCAGCATGAAGCTTAATTAAGCTGGATTTGTGTCTCGGTAAACAGTTAATGTCATCACACTGAAACAAATCAATAACTCAGCAGGAGATACACACAGAGTGCTACATCATTTGTCTTTAAAAACAGTAGAAAACAAGGCAGAGTCGTGTTACACAGATGCACAGGGAAATTATATTGGTGTGTGTGTGTTGAAAGGTGAACTGTTATCAGCTACATATAGCAGAGTAGCTGGCTGATGGGGGAGTGTGGATGGCGATGAAGATGGTGTTTATGTCAGTCCGATTTCCTCCAGCACGCTGCGCGGGGTCTCTGCTTCCTGTGACGAGAAAGAAGAACCACAGCTCCAGTGAAGCGCTCAGCTGGACGCGCACACAAACACACCATGTTTCATCTGCTGTTATCAGCAGTGGAAGCACTACAGAAATATTCTAAGGAAATGATTGCTTGTAAAATAGATTCTGATTGATTTCCTTGTTACATTCGATACTATAAATCTAATCAAACCCACATTAATCTACATGAAGATTTTAAAAGTAAATTTAAGCTGGGCTAGGCTGTTTTTAGGCACCACTGGGCAAAAATCTAACCTTTAACCTTTCAGCTTTTCTAACTCAAGTAATCTGGGAGGATAATAGACTTCTGCACATCTTCTTGGCCTTTTTTAGATTTTAGAGAAAAATAGCCTGTTATGGTTGAAAGTTGGGAGTAATATAGTCAAAATAAAATTGTAATTTCTGTTGGTCCTCAGATCTCCCTGTGAGGATACATAGGACTGGACATTAAAGACGTACGTAACTTATAGGTCTTAAACCTGCATTCTTTATAATGGCCAGCAGGTGGCGTGTCCTCTGGGTTGGTCCCCTTTTTCACTTCAGAACTACCTCAGTTATTCATGCCATAGATTTTGCAAAGTGCTGAAAACATTCCTAAGATTTTGGTCCATACTGACATGACAGCATCACACAGTTGATGCAGATCTATGATCTGAACCTCCTGTTTCACCACATCCCAAGATTTAGTGTACTGAGATCTGGTGACTGTGGAGGCCATTTGAGTACGGTGAACTTATTGTCATATCCAAGAAAACAGTTTGAAATGATCTGAGTTTTGTGTCATGATGGGTCATCCTGCTGAAAATAGCCATCAGGAGATGGATATTGTGGTCATGAAGGGATGTACATGGTCAGCTACATACTCCAGTAGGCTGTGGTGTTTTTCAGTTTGTAGAACATCTGACCAATGTTGTTCATTAATGCTGCTTTAATATACCTGTTCCGTATTAGTATGCTGCGCATGCACGCAGTGAGATGGGAAGCAAGAGGAGGGAACCCGCCCCCGGGAATGGAATGACTAACGTGTAATGGTTGCTTTGTTTCGAAGTAAATGATGCTCGATGATATTCACGAACCCTGAGTCATTATTAAACGACAAACATGGTGTCAGAAGTTGTGGTTCGGTCATCTACTCCAGCACTGCTGACGGAGTGGTAAGACTAAAGTTTTCCCAACACTTTACGGACGAAGCAAGCAAGTAACCAGCTAGCGTTGCTAGGCTATCGTAGCAAGAGACTATTAAACGTCAACGACCATGTCGGACGGATTCCGTAGACCAGACCCATTGGTGTTTTGTGGAAACATCGCCGAGAAGTGGCGTATATTTGAGCAGGAATACGACATATTTATAGCCGCTGCTCATTCTGATAAGGATCCTCGGACCAGAGCGTTCATCCTGCTAAACCTAGCCGGCTCTGAAGCCATCGAGCGGGAGCGCGCATTCGTTTATACACCCGCTGCGCACGCGGGGGAAGGAGAACACAGACGACTGGTGACCGAAGCAGAATCGAGAGAAGACCCGGAATGTCTAAAGCGCAAATTTCGTGAACTCTGTAATCCCCAAACAAACATAACAATGGAAAGGCACAAGTTTAACACCAGAAACCAACGGCCAGATGAAACAATTGAGTCTTATGTGAGTGACTTAAAAAGTAAGGCAGGCAGTTGTAAATTTGGCCAGCTTAAAGACGAGCTCATCAGAGAGACTCGTTTGTGGCATAAACAGCGACAGCATGAGAAAGCAATTGCTGCGCGACAGCGACTTAACTTTGAGCAAAGCAAAGTTCTTCATAGTGAAACGAGACGTACAACCCCTACTTGGCTTACCAGACTCACTTCACTTACAATTAATCACACTAAACAAAGAAGTCCACCACGTGACTAAGGAAGTGGAAAGCACCTTTTCAGAACAGATCTTCTCAGAGTATTCAGACCTCTTCGAAGGTAAACTTCCGGTTACCTATTCCATGAAAATAGACCCAGAAGTCACACCAGTAATAAAGCCAGCACGCAAAATACCGGTTCCAATGCTAGGTTAGAGCAGAATTAACCCGTATGGTCGAGTTGGGTGTGATCACCCCTGTCACAGAGCCAACAGAATGGGTGTCGTCCATGGTGGCGACCCACAAGAAAAATTCAGATGAGATCAGACTCTGCATCAATCCAAGAGACTTGAATAAAGCACTAAAACGCCCACATCATCCTATGCGTACTATAGAGGAGATAGCCGCCCAAATGCCTAACTCCAAAGTCTTTTCCGTCTTGGATGCGAAATGCTCCTTTTGGCAGATAACACTTGACCACCAATCATCCATGCTCACAACTTTCAGCTCACCGTTTGGCAGATTCCGCTTTCTAAGAATGCCATATGGAATAAACTCAGCCAGTGAGGTGTTCCAGCGTGCAATGGAGCAGATCTTTGCTGGATACCCCTGTGCTATCATTGTCGATGACATACTCATCGGTGGAAGAGATATGAAAGAGCATGAACACAATCTCAGAAAAGTACTCGATCGTGCAAGGGAAGTCAAGCTGAGACTTAACCCCCTGAAGTGCAAATTCAGTCTCAAAGAAGCCTGCTACGTTGGCCACGTCTTCACAAGCGAGGGCTTGAAGCCGGACCCAGCAAAGACCAAAGCAATTGAAGAGATGCCCACACCTGAAAACGTCACAGCTCTCCAACGCTTCTTAGGGATGATTAATTACCTAGGAAAGTTCATTCCTAATTTCAGCGAGCTTTCAGCCCCACTTCGGGAGCTAACGTGCAAAGACGTACAGTGGTGTTGGCTCAAGCAGCATCAAGATGCATTCCATGCTTTAAAACGAAGCCTGATCAGTCCTCCTACCCTCAGATACTACGACGTAAAGAAACCCGTCACGCTAACGTGTGACGCATCGCAGCATGGACTCGGGGCTGCATGCCTCCAAGAAGGCGTCCCGATTGCCTACTCATCTCGTACTCTGACACAGACAGAAACGCGCTATGCGCAGATTGAGAAGGAGCTTCTTGCAGTCGTATTTGGTTGTTCCAAGTTTAATGATTACATCTATGGGAAACAAATCCAAATTGAAACCGATCATCAGCCATTAGTCACTATCTTGAACAAGCCAATACATTCAGCTCCAGCCAGACTGCAACGCATGATGCTTAGGCTGCAAAAGTACAACTTTCAGATAGTGTACAAAAAAGGCTCGCAGATGTACCTCGCCGACACTTTATCCCGTGCTCCCACAACCTCGACGGATCAGAACAGTGATGAAACAGCTGACTACGAGATCATGTCGATCCAGCAAATCTCTTCTTACAGGCTGATGCAGCTAAAGGAACATACTGCCTCAGATCCAGAGCTACAGAAACTAAGCACTGTCATAATGAGAGGATGGCCTTGCAGACAAACTCAGCTGCCCACAGAACTTCGTCAATACCACCCATATCGAGACGAACTCACTCTAGAAGATGGCATTGTCATGAAAGGGCTGAAAACAGTGATTCCTAAATCTTTGCAAAAAGATTATATCGTCATCCTCCACAGAGGGCACCCAGGCATGGAAGCTACTAAACGCAGGGCCCGTGGCATTGTGTTTTGGCCCACAATGACAGCAGATATTGAGCAAGAAACAGCTGCGTGTCCAGTGTGCAACAGCACAAGGCCATATCAACAGAAAGAGCCGTTAAAGCTACATCCAGTGCCGGACCTACCCTGGTCAACCGTCGCCACCGACATCTTCGAGTGGAACGGACAACATCACCTGGTTGTAGTCGACTCTTACTCAGGTTGGTTCGAAGTAGACCTGCTTCCAGACCTAACCGCCAACACTGTCATCACAAAGCTCAAAAGACACTTTTCTGTCCATGGCAGCCCGCACAAAGTAATATCAGAAAACGGCACTCAGTTCACCAGCCAACGCTTTGCAGACTTTGCTTCAGCATGGGACTTTGTTCATGTGACAAGTAGCCCAGAATACCCGCAGGCCAATGGATTGGCTGAACGTGCGGTTCGCAGTGCAAAGCAGTTGATGGAAAGATCAAAGAGAGATGGAACGGATGTCTTCCTTAACCTACTCAATCTCCGCAACGTGCCACGAGACAACACATTAGGTTCCCCAGCTGAAAGGCTGATGTCAAGACAGACGCGCACGACCCTACCCGTGTGTAGACGTCTGCTCGTTCCCAGCCCCAAAAGCAACAGAACAGTTAAAACAAACCTACTTCACAAGCGCCAGGCACAAAAGAGATACTATGACAAGTCCAGCAGACCCCTCCGCCCCCTCATGCCAGGTGAGGTTGTGTGGATGCAAACGCGTCAAGGACATGACTCCTTAGGAACCATCAAGGAAGCCTGCAAAGAGCCCAGATCGTACATCGTCCAGTCAGGAGCTGGAGAGTACAGGCGAAACCGCAGACATATCCTCCCAGTCTCTGAACCGCCACCACCACACGGAGATTCCCGTGATGATTACACCGCAGCCCAACCACCTACCACTGACTCCCCACAGCACATCCAAGAACCCGTGACACACACCGACGAACAAACACATAGCCACACGCAACACTTCACACAAGCCCCAGTCCAGTCCCCCTGTCGCCCGGCACGTGATGCTTACATCACACGATCTGGGAGGGTCTGCAAACCAAACCCCAAGTATGAACACTAAGGCATTAGAGATGGACAGTAACACAAAAAAGAAAAAAAAAAGTGGACAGTACAAGTGATGTGATGTCAGCAAAGTTAAATGCTCTCCGTGTCCTTACCAATGACACAGTTCAAGGTGTGAAGTAATTTGTTAATGTTTAGGCTAGAATGTTATGATATGGACATGTTGTTAACGTGTTATTGCTAAAGGTGTTGTTAGCAGTTTATACAGCCATAAGCTAAAGAGAGGGGATGTAGAACATCTGACCAATGTTGTTCATTAATGCTGCTTTAATATACCTGTTCCGTATTAGTATGCTGCGCATGCACGCAGTGAGACGGGAAGCAAGAGGAGGGAACCCCGCCCCCGGGAATGGAATGACTAACGTGTAATGGTTGCTTTGTTTCGAAGTAAATGATGCTCGATGATATTCACGAACCCTGAGTCATTATTGAACGACAAACACAGTTGATACTAAGAGGTCGAAAGTGTCCCAACAAAGACATTACACTGCCCCCTCTACCACCTGTCTTATCTTTGTTGCATAGTCTTTCCAATGCATTGGGCCATGATGCTAGCCGTCCTTCGTCTGTTCACGTTGTCTAGCGGTTAACATGCGACGGGACGTGCATGGTTAAGGCGGGGAGGATGTAACCCACATAAAAATGAAAAGAACTGCATCTATAAAAAATAAGTGTGCGTATGTATGTACATATATGTACTTGTGTGTGTAGATATATATGTATGTATATGTATGTGTGTCTGTTACTTGTAGTTATTACTGCCTGTTACCTGTGGTAATGCAATTTATAATTTATATATTCTGTATTCAGTTATGAAGGCTCTAATTGTTGGTTGCGAGCTGCCGCTTAGATGCTTGTATCTGCCCGGGGCTGTTGATGGGTCTGTATGCAATGATGGGCGTAGCTGCGGGAAGTTTATTGTTTTTTTTTGTTGATGAGTGAGTATAGGGGTGGGATTTAATAAGTTTTCTTCGTCCCACTCCTTTTTCAGGCAAGTTTTGTTTTTTGTTTTGTGTATTTTATGTTCAATATAGGTATTTGTTGTGCCTGAAAATGAATAAATAAATGAATGAATGAATGAATAACTAAATCGGAATCTTAAATTCCAACCGGAGCGTGTCCGTGAAGGCATCGTGACGCGTCATGACGCACGCCACGCCGCGAGGCTGCACGTGCCTGTTGTGACCAATCCTATTCGCGAGGCACTATTATATGCCTTCCGGGTTGTCGCCTCGAAACGACGCGGGGGAGAGGCGTTAGCGGATGGAAGCAACAGTATTTTGATACCGCCGCGGGTAGATGCGTGGGGCTCGTATGTGACATCGCACGTAGTGAATGTGCAGGCTAGTGGTGCCCTGGAGAGACCACAGCGACACCACTACTTTGGATGGCGAGCTAGGCCCAACGAGCCAGAACCCCAGCTACAACTTCCTGCGGTCTGGTAGGAGGCTGCTGCGGCCTACACTCTCCCCTCTTGGTTTTCAGTCCCCTAAATCTCACTTCCGAGATTTCAGTCTTGGAATCTTAGTGCTGATCATCATACTTCCAATTTCAACCTGTCTAGACTGTCATACGCGTTGGACTTATATCAATCATGAAATAAACTTTATGGACATTGTTTGCCAGAGGTTGGACGAGGTTGCTGCACCGCTGTGCAGCGGATATTTTACAAGCTTGAATTATGTTTTATCTTTTCCTGTCTGCAGATTTTGTAAATATTGGTATTTGGTAATTGCACTTTATTTTCACTATAAATAATAACTGTAATCACAATATCTGTGGTTGTATGTTTATTGTACTTCACTCACCTCCTAGAGCCGAATCTGATATCTTCTGAATTAGCCCAACTACTCATAACCAACTTAAATTATTTTAGCTTATGTACTTGTTACAAACACACCTTAGAACCATCACTAACGCCAAATGAAAAAACGTCATAATTGATCATCATCTCTTGTTTTAAGAACAATCTGCATCCTTTACCCCCCCCAATATCTCACAAACACGTGTTTTCACAGCATCACCACTCATAAAATGAACATAATGGGTTTAAGTAACATCACTCTGTCCCACTGAAATAGATGATTATTTCTACCCATTCTGGCTTTGTGCTCCAGTAGAACAGTTCTGGGTCATGGGGCAGCTGTCCAGGCTCCCCAGCCTCAGGATCCCACAATCCCCATCTGTTAAATGTCCAACCTACTGATCCTCACTGACCAAACGCCATGCAAATTTAAAGAAATACATAAAATCCACCTTTTTGCCTCCACTCCACTATTTCTGTTCATTTGCTTCTGTGCTTGATGTGATGTCATATTGTCATCTGTCAATTTGAGTTTTTATTCATTTGTAAAAAAATTTAAAATGAGGGGAAAAAAAATTGGCTGACATCACGACAGACAATCACAGCAGGTATACAAAACAGAAGCAGCAGCCTTAACGTCAACTATAGATGACTAGTGTTTGACATCAGCCAACGAGCACAACCTGGCTAATTCTCCTTTCTGACTCTAAAAATACAAAGATAAAAATGAAAAACTGAACTTAATCTTTGATTCAGTATGACGTGAAACTAGCAACTAATCAGGGGCACAGTGAAAGTGAGTCATGGCCCGTTTTCCCATAGACTCGGGTAGGACCAGAAGAGTCGCCCCTGGTGTCAATTAAAAAAGAAAATGCAGGTTTAAGGTACTTGGGTGCTGATTTATCTTTTACTCTCAATCTCAATCTTTATTCAGTCAGAGAAGGACGAGCTGAGGTGCAAAGGAGCTTGCAGGTTTGCAGGGGTCTAAAGCATCTTAAAACATCATGATCTATATGAGGTTTGCCAATAGGATGCATAGAAGGCCCGACTTCCTGACCTGCTCTTTAACACTTTATTGGCTGTTCTACAAAGGAATACATTTAAATACAAGTGAAAGCAGAACAAGCAAGAGCCACCCACAACCTCATACTTCAGTTTTGTTAATAAACTGGTGATTTTATAGAAACAATGTTCACCATTCAACATCCCTCACATTTATATATGCACTAACTTGGAATAAATAAACAAATAACAGGACAGACAGGCTCTATCCTATTTAATGCACATCTACTTTGCTAATTCTACCCTAACTAGTGTCACAAGTTGTAGTTAACAAATTTCAGGGGCTTGTGTCAGAAACAAAGAGAATCACTTACTTTGGCATCCTAAAAAAAGGTTCAGCACAAAGTAAAGAGAGTAAATTCATCAGAGCAGTGACATAAAATTCATTTAAGCTAACACTTCCACACAGTGGCGTCTGTGGTTTCATTTTCAGTGCAAAATGTTCAGACGTGACCTCGAAACATCCACTCTGCATTAATCACCCTTTATAGACTTTTCACACAGGGGAAATATTTTGTCAGAGTGATGAATCCCTCGTTGCCGATTATGTAGGCTAAACCCGTTAATCTGGGAAACGAATGGCGTTCTGCACAATTCAGACAGAAAATAAAAGCTGTGGAAAAAACCCTCCAATTTCAGAGAGCCACAGGGGGGAAATCCATAAACTCAGAGAACAACGGTTATATTAAAGAAAGACACCAGTGTGCTGATGTGACAGAGAATCGTAAACAATTTATTATGTATCCATTACGTACATCAATAAAGTGAGGGTCCATTTATTCAGCTGGCTTTCATTAGCAAGCCACAGAAAAGACATTTCATATGAAATATTTATTTATTTATAATAGAAAACATATTTGTAGGTCTAATTGTTTCAAGCGTTTTAACGTCTATAATCAACATAAAACCCCGAAGAATCTTTAATCCGTGCAATCATTGCAAATACAATATTCATTTAGGCAGAATTCCTCTGAAACCACTTACCTTGAAAAACTTTTTTTAATATTTATTTAAATAGGAAATAATCATGATCTGTGAATATTTTTTAAAATAACTCTGCTTATTAAGAGACAGACACTTAAAAACTATTAAAACGTCTACTGTGCGCTTCAGTGTGAACACTGGTTTGATTTTCACGCTCATAAGAACGTTTTACAAGATCACAGCAAAAAGAAAAACCTAAAAATCAAACAGATACGTATGATGTGAGAGTGAGAAGATACAAGCAAAACAGATGAGATACAGAAATGGGTGAACATGACTTCTATTGCATTCACTTCCCACAAACATGACCTGTGAGTCAAAACAAGTTAAAAACATGAAAAAACTGGATGAACCCCTCATGGATGTAATACTGACTCAGGTATGAGTGGTGAGCGTGGAGTCTGTGTTTAATTAAAGCTCAGGTTTGTATTTTGTGATCTGGACTTCAAGAATTTTGAAATTCTCTGTGTTTATAATTAAATACTTTTAAAAGTACTGAACTGTATTTTTAAAACACAGTCAGCACCTGTACTACTTGTTTGCCCAAAGACCAAGTAGAAACAGCACAAATGAACAAAAAAATGAAAGAAACATTTTGTGAAGAACATCTATCATAAAAAACTGATATAATCTCTTATTTGACATAAATCTAAATCAGTCTTGTATGCCATCATGATTAACAAGGTCAACTTAATGCGTTTTTTCCAGAAAGTGATGCAGCTATGAAGCGGAAGAAGTTATTTACTAAGTGGAACTGCTATTTAGAGTGGACCTATTATTTTCTGTTACACAATTTTCATAAACAGTTTGACTCAAAGCTGTCACAACGCCAGATTTTCAGTGGATGACTACGGCAGCCAAAAGTAAATTAAATGCGAGACGCTGTTTGTTGGACCTGACTTGTTCAAAATATCCTGAAGCTAGCTTTAGCTCAAAACACAAAGCAGAGGAGCGGAGGAAACAAACTGGAATTAAAAGAAAGAAACACTGTCTCTAGTGTTTCTTTTAACAACCACAGAGGTATATAAGAGCAGTGACATCACCGATTGGTTGTGGAAGTCTCTCGAGATGAACGCTCTTGCCGTCACATCTTCTTTTTGAAACTGGTTGCAATGAGCAAGGCGTGGCTCTGACTAGGGCTGTTCAATATAACGATATATATCAGATGACGATATAAAAACGTCTATCGTTTCATTTTACGCTATCGTTTGTTTTGTGCTGTTGCAAAATAAACTGTTTAGGGCAATATTTTTTCATCGTTTTGATGGTCACTGTAGTGGCTATATTAATTTCCTAAAGTTCTCTCTTTCTCTTATATTTAATATAACCACACTACCAAAGGACAAGCGCCTGTTTTTATGCGTTGTCGTTAGCAACAACGATGGCAACACCATCACGTGTCCGCTTGTTTATTTTCTACATAAACCTTTCACAATAAAGCTCAAGATCCTGTTGAGACTTTTCAAAATAAACTGAATCACGTGAAAGAGTATGCAGAGTATTTACCGATGAGAAGCAAAAAAGGAGCCGTCAGGTGCTAAAAAATAAACCTTAGACTCAAACATTAGAACAGGCTTTTCCCCGCAGCACGCCGTGTAATAAATACTCACAAAGAAAACGGCGGCAGTTACAACCTATGTCTAAAAATGTGTCATTTAATGCATCGGTAAAACACTCGACTCCAGATACACGACGCCCAGCTGGAAACACTTCAGCTACCCGAGATTCACAGAATTTACAGAAAATGTAAAATTTTTGTGATTTATATCGTTATCGGACGATAGATGTTTTATATCGGGATATCAGATTTTGGTCATATCTGACTGTGAAACCACAAACCAACATGTATACTTGGGTTACCTCCTTTCTGAGAGTTGGAATGACCAAAATTTGCAAAACAGACTCTTAAGTTTTATTCAGTGTGACCCAGAAAAGCGTTTAATCTAAGAGTTTTCATGCAGACTCCTGCAGTATAATAGGTCCACTTTAAATTATTGTTAATATTTTATTTTTGGGTCATGATGGCACTTAATTTGCTGCTTTACAACAATAACAAGGAAACTGTTGAAATGATACAAAGAGTTCAGTGGAGCAATGACAGGCATGTGACAATGCATCACCGCAAAATATCAAATGGATCGATAACAATATTGATTACGTTTTCACGCCCCATAAACAGGATGCAGATCTCTTTGTGTAAATGCTTCCATTCATGGTTGTTTTAAATTTGAATTTGATAATATTGTATCATGACTGTCATGTATGAAAATGAATGAAAACTGAAAATACTGTTACACCCCCAAACCAATGACAATGTCAGGTGCCGCGTGCAGAAAGGAAGGTGCCAGGCACTGAGGAGCTCAGCATGCAAGGTGGATAGCAGCAGCAGCAGCAGCAGCAGCAGCGGTGGCAGCCAATCAGTACACAGGCACATTAAAGTACTCATGACGGGGCTGGAGGAGAGAAATGCACACAGCTTAGTAAACAAAGGCAATACTGCTTCCAACAGCCACTTCATTCATAACGTGCAGGAGACAGAGCAGCAGGCAGGACAAAAGACTCTCACCATTGTTTCCTCTTTTCCTCTCAAAGGAAAGTTTGGCAAATGTTTGCTTTCTGGCTTAGCTTAAAAGCTGGTAATACATAAGTGTGGCTAATTCTAGAAAAAACGTACCCATTTTCCGTCTTACCTTATTAAAGAAAAAACTCCCAAAGGTGAAACAATCATTTTCAGCGTGAAAGTACAAACACTGTCTAACTTATTAAACGTTATCTCACAGCAGGTACAACATAGCTGTAATCATACAAGTCGCAGTAGTGGACAGCGTCACTGAAATGTTAACATATGAAAGTAGAATAAAGACAGATTAGTGATGAGTTCACTCCAAACACGAAGCAAAGTTTTTACATATCAAGTCAACATGAAGAGGTGAATTAATGCAGGCAAAGTGATAAGATGCGTTTAAAACTTGCATCCACATGAGGTTATTTAAAGTTTTGCAAAAAAATTCACTTCACACTGTGTTGCAAAACCTCATCAGCTGTGATGCTCTGAACGTCACCAATTGAGCTTACTGACGCATGTCAGGGGAGATCGAATTGCATGGCTCAACGTCACTTTTACATCCATGAAAAAAAAGGAGACAGAGTTGGAGAAAAACAAAACTGTAGGAGTTCATGATATGTTCTGAAAATAGATAAGTGTAACTTGATTCCAGCTATTGAGTGTACGCCTCCTCTTCTTGTAGGCTGCTAGCGGCGAACATTTGTGTTTTTTCAATGCACCCGTATTTGTATGAGTAACTCAAGGTGAGACGTTGCTTCATGTCTGGCGTGAACGCACCAAAGGACAGACCTCAGTTTCCAGTGTAAACATGTAATTTAAGAGTTAAACGACTGGTTACTGTGAAAAGGAGTCGATGAACGAGACCAGGAAGACCGTCTAAACCAGCACGAACTATGCTACACACAGACAACGATCAGTCACAACATTAAAAGCCACCGAAACAGCTCTGACTCATCAAGACTTCAGAATTTCTCCTGAGGTATCAGACACCAAGACGTTCACAGCACATTCTTTATATGTTGGAAGTTTTGAGGCGGACCTTCATATATTTAATGTGTTTTATCAACTCATCTTGGAGATTGAAATCTTTGGAATGTATAAGTCTAATCGGGATCTTGGACTTTGGTTCTTTAAAATCTTCCTGTACTTGTTCTTCACTATGACAGGACCCATTATCTTGCAGAAATAAGTGACCGCCATCAGGGAACATCTCTGTCATAGAGGGGTGTATGTGGTTTGCAACAGCATTCCAGTAAAAGTCAAAATGTTTCCCAATGTTTCCCAGCAGAACATAACACAGATCACTGTGCTGCTCCCACAGGGCTGCCTTCTTCCCATATTGTGTCCAGGTGCCATCTTTCTGCAGGTAAACAGTGCAGTCCAGGCCTCTTCCTTCCATGGCGCCACGGTTCAGCTGTTCCACTCATGTGTGAGTTGTAGGAGATTTTAGCAGTTCAGCAAGACTAAATTAGATCATGGTTCCTGTGCACTAGCAAAGCCCCTCTAGAAACATGTCTTGCTACTCATAGGCATCTTGGATCCTTTTCATTGATTTATTTTAAAGCTTTATCTAAATTAACATTATTTTCAATAGACGCAGCATGAACAGAATCACCGGTCAGGTCCGGTAAAAAAAAAAATGCTTAAAATGTTTGCTGACTTCACACCAAAATGAGGTTTTGAAAATTCAAGATTTTTTGAGTCCCATGTCTTTCTCTTAAATTCTTCCTGTCACTGATCATCCTTCCCTGGACCACTTTTAGTAGGTACTGA